AAGGTACCAGCGTGTTCTGTGTCTGGTTCCACTCTGCTTCCAAGATGGTGCCTTGAATGCTGAGTCTTCCAGAAGGGACAAACGGCAAGTACTCTCTTGGCAAAAGGGACAGAAGGGCAAAAGGACTAGCTAGCTCCCTTCGATTCCTTTTATAAGGCACTAATCCCATTTATGAGGATGGGTATAATTGATAAGCAATAGTGCTTACACATGCAGCACAAGCACTTGAAATGTGAATTCCCCATGATTCTGTCTTATTTATAAATTGTACTTCTTATTTTGTTAAAAATCCTTGTCCTAGGTCAGGAATTCAAGACAAGGCTGGCCAATATGATGAAACCCTGTCTCTACTAAAAACATAAAAATTAGCCCAGTGTGGTGGTGGGCGCCTGTAGTCCCAGCTACTTGGGAGGCTGAGGCAGGAGAATCACTTGAACCTGGAAGGTGGAGGTTGAAGTGAGTCGAGATTGTGCAGCTGCACTCCAGCCTGGGTGACAGAGCAAGATTCTGTCTCAAAAAGAAAAAAAAAAAATTCTCATCCTTATCTTGTCTCCACTTAGTCTCTGATAGACCACGTTGTGTTTAAATCTCCTACTCGCTGTCTCTGTCCATTTATCACTGTGTGTCTCATGTTTTTGTTGTACATATTTTGTTGCAATGTGTTCTGGGTTGAATTGCATCCCTGCCAAATTAAGGTCCTCACCCTTGGTATTTCAGAATGTGACTGTATTTGGAAGTAGGGTCTTTACAGAGGTAATCAAGTTAAAAGGACCTTAATACAAGATGACTGGTGTATTTAGAAAAAGGGCAAGTTTGGAGTCAGACACTCATACAGAAAGAACATCACTGAACGTGAAGACACATTTTATTTTATTTCATTTTTTGAGACAGGGTCTCGCTCTGTCGCCCAGGCCAGAGTGCAGTGACATGATCTTGGCTCACTGCAACCTCTGCCTCCCAGGCTCAAGCGATCCTCCCACCTCAGCTTCCCAAGTAGCTGGGACTACTGGCATGTGTCACCATGTCCAGCTAATTTTTATATTTTTGTAGAGACGGGTGGTTTTGCCATGTTGCCCAGGCTAGTCTCGGACTCCTGGACTCAAGGTATCTTCCTGCCTTGACCTCCCAAAGTGCTGGGATTATAGGTGTGAGCCACTGTGCCCGGCCATGAAGACATATTTTTTAAAGATAGAGTGAGGAGACATAAGAGGGCCACCTAAAAGCCAAGGAGAGAGAACTGGAACAGATTCTTTCCTCACCGTCCTCAGAAGAACAACCCTGCTGACATCTTGATTTTGAACTTGCAGGCTCCAGAAGTGTAAAAGAATAAATTTCTGTTGTTTGAAGCCACCAGTTTGTGGTACTTCATTGTGGCAGCCCTAGCAAAAAAGCATTATACTATTCTGCAGTAGTTTTAATACTCTATCTTCACTATCAGTTGATACAGTGACCCCCAATTCCTTTCTTTAAGATTGCCTTTAACTATGACATTAAACCTCTGCTGGATTTTCCCATTTGATTGGCAGTCTTTTGTCCAGTCTTTTGATTATGATCATGAGCCCCCCATTGTTATGCACCCAGGCGTTTGTTGTATGCATGTATGTGGCGCATTGATCAGCAATTGCCTATATGAACTCTGGAGTCAGAATTGGTGGCTGCCACTTAGTTGCTATATGACCTTGGGCAAGTATATTAATCTTTCTGTGCCTGTCTTCCCTTCTGTAAGGTGAGGAAATAGTAATTATTCCTGTATCATAAGATTGTCTTGAGGGTTATTAAGAAACTAGCGTAACTGGATTGTTGAGGTTAGGTTGCCAGAAAGCAGACTACGAGATGGAGATTTACTGTGCAGGAAGTTTACTGGGGAGGTGCTCTCAGGATCAAGAGGTGCACAGGGTTTGGGCGTAGGAAGCTGGATTCAATGCGGAGTGTAGTGGTTTAAAATACGTCCTCAAATTCTTTGACCCCGCCTTCCAAAGGTAGAGCTAAATTCCCCTTCCCAAGTGTAGGTTGGATTTAGTGACTGTCTTCTAATGGAGAGAAGAAAAGTAGATGTGCTTCAGATACTTGCCCACATAGGGCATTGCAGCTCCCTAATTGCACTCTCTCTTGATTGACTGGTCTGGGAGAAGCTAGCTGTCATATTGTGAGGCTTCTCAAGCAACCTGCGGAGTGGAAGTGAGTGCTCCCAACCTCAGTCACGTGAGGGAGCCATCTTGGAAGTGGATATTCCAGCCCACAACAGGTCTTCAGAGGACTGCAAGAACCTGACACCTTGAGCCAGAAACACCCAGGGAAGCTTCTCCTGAGTTCCCAACTCGCAGACATGAGACGTTTGTTATTTAAAACTACTACAGATTGGGCTAATTTGCTACACATCAGTATTTAATACTAGGAGTTTTGGATATGGAATGGTCCTTCAGAGTTGTCCTAAACTGGGACAAGGGAGAGGCCTGTATATCCTAAATGGATTAATCGTCAGGTGTGGACTGCCCCCAAGAAGGGGGAATGACCTTAGGCAAGGCAGTTTTCTTCATTAAAGGAAAGCTTTGAAGAGTGACTTAGCTGAGCGCTGTTGAGATCAATACTCCTAGCAGCTCAGGGAACATGTCCTTCAGTCCTGAAGGAAGGGTCTGGGCAGAGAATCTTAGCACCCACTTAAGGATGTTTAGTGGGACCTCTGCTGTTGTCCTAGAATTGGCACTAGGCTCACAATGGAAAACTACAGGCATGGCACTCCATCTCCTAATGAAAGATGCCTATAATTAGGGCCACTTCCCCCAGGGCTTAAGAAAAAGCTGCAGCTCTGGCCCCCTCTTCCACCAAATACTTCCCCAGTCCTCTCCTCAATCTATACAGGAAGGCAGGGGAAGGAATGAAAGGAGACAGTATTGTGGAGGACAGTGTTTCTGGTGTGAAGTGATGTAGCTGGGAAGGACACAGGACAATCTCTCCTAGGTATCAGGGGGCCTACTGGAAGGGGAGTCTGGTATTCTATTTGCCTGCAGATCTGTTCCTCCAGCACTCTTGCTGATTTATCTCTGTATTGCAAGAGGGAACAAGAAAATTGAAGAGGGATAGCAGGGGAGAGAGGAGCAGCCATGGGGTGGTCTTCAGTCCAGCCCTTTTTTGTGGCAAAGATGTGTATTTCTCCTGGGTCAAATCCTTCCTGTGCCGAAGATAATGGTCCTGAGCGATCTTGCCTGAGAGTCTGAGTGTACTGCTGGGTGCTGACAGGGGGGTGATGGAAAAGATCAAGTTGGGGACAGATCTCCCACGGAACTGTGTGGCAGGGAGAAGGCTCCACCCGAACTCCCCATGTGTACCCCGCGAAAGGAATTTTAAACGAGACAGTTACCCAGAGAAGCAGAAATCAACTAAGAAAATTCAGCAGTGGCCAGTTAAGACATATTTGTCTCATTTTCTCTCCTCTTCCTTATCTCAACACAGAAGCCAGGCCTTGCAGAGAGACGCTCAGAAGTGTCGGCGTGCCAAAACCACGCTTTGCACCTTCCCACTCACACTAAGGGATTTAGGGTCCCACTTGAGACATGAAATCGACACTTTAACAAGGTCTGATTTTTGGTAACTCAAATGGACCAGAAAGTTAAGGTATCATCTAAAGTGTGAGGGATGGAAAAGATTTAAAAGGATAGCGACTGGAGGCTGGGCGCGGTGGCTCACCCCTGTAATCCCAGCACTTTAGGAGGCCGAGACAGGCAGATCACGAGGTCAGGAGTTCGAGACCAGCCTGGCCAACATGGTGAAACCCCATCTTTACTAATACACAAATAAGCTGGGAATGGTGGCGCGTGCCTGTAGTCCCAGCTGCTCGGGAGGCTGAGGCAGGAGAATCGCTTGAACCCGGGAGGCGGAGGTTGCAGTGAGCTGAGATAGCGCCACTGCACTCCAGCCTGGGCGACAGAGCGAGACTCCGTCTCAAAAACAAAACAAAACAAAAAACAAGTATACAATGTGGATACATGTGTTTCTTTTTGTTTCTCTGCAGTGTCTACTGAGATTGATTTTTTACCATTTGAAAATGATGGGTGAGTCTAGTGGAAAGGGATCCACTTCTTGAATTCTAATAGACTAGACTGTGATTTTCAAGTCCCTAATGAATTGTTCTAAAATCGCTGAGTCTGAGTTGCCAGGAAAACATTCAAGGCAGAGACCAAAGCCCTGAGGGCAGAGAGGAGCTGCAAACCAAGACCTGAATATTTGAAAATACCATTTATTAACCTTCAAAAGCAGTTGTAGCCGCAGTACCATCACTGCTGGCCTGTAAAACATTTTATATTCTCAAGAGGGAGGCATTCATGATACTAATTCTTGCAATCGTTTTACAGATAATTTCTGATGTCATCCCAAAAGTAATGCACTTTTTTTTTTTTTTTTACGCCTCAGCCTCCCGAGGAGCTGGGACCACAGGCGCCCAGTAATGCACTTTTAAAAACAATTATCAGAATCAAATAAACAAAAAGCACTTTTCACCGCATTAATTAAATCACTTGCCAAAATGAAATCTGACCTTCTGCTTACTGGCAAAATCCTCATTTATAACATTTACAAGAGATTTTAACTCAGTAAACGAAGTATGTTAACAGTGCACTGCCCTGCCCTGCAGTAACGCCCCCCACTCCCACAAACTATATCTGGGGTCAGCTGTTGCTGGGAATAAGAATAGGCAGATTCACTTCAGCTTCCAGTCTTTCATTTGCAATCAACCGCCAAGCGCCAGAGCCTGCGGGCCGTGCCTTTCCACCCTTTAGCGCGGGGCGCACAGATCTGAGTATTTAATACCCGGTTCCAGGACACGCGCCTGGGGAACACCCACAATCCCCCGCGGCCCGAGGAACTCGGACGGCGGGTGACCCAACGCCGCGGCTCCGAGCGGAGCGAGGTCACCTGGCGCTTCCCGATACCTTGACCCTAGGCCCGGCTGGCGCTGGGACGCTGGGCAGCCGAGCCGCCAGCCGATCAGCGCTTTGCAGAACGAGCGCGCACGGGCTGCACCCCTGAAGGTGACCGGAACCGTTCCCGTGGGAAGGGCAGGGAACGGCGCCTGGCCACGGGCAGACAAGGGGGCGCCGGCTCTTCAGAACCCCAGGGAGAAAGCGGTAGAGGGCTACAGTTGAGGAGATTAAGGACATTTGAGGAGGACAGGCATTCCCAAGTTATAACCTCCAGAAAGACAACTCCATCGTGCTACCCCTCTGCGCCGCACAGCCTGACGGGAGCATCATGTTTCCTGCGCAGGCTGCGTCCCACAGACGGCCTCGGTCCCGCCCCCGGCCGCGGGGCACGCCGGGAGAGCCGAGAGTTCTTCCCTCCCTCCGCTAACCCAGAAAAAAAAGGAGCATTTCCGGCGTAAGACTATCCCGGGTGGGGCTAGTTTGGTCCCGCCTTTCACGCCCGGAGGGGGCGGGGTGAAGGGTGACAGTTCTCCCCGCACTAAGGCCCACTCCTGTGCCGGAAGGAGGAAGGCGTGGGGCGTTCGCCTCTCGGAGCTAGGAAGTGTGTGCGACGTAGGTGCGAGGTCACGTGAGCTGCTGCCGGCTGAGAGGGAAAGGGGCGGGGCCCAGAACGAAGGGGCGAGGCGCCCCTTGTTTTCCTGGGGTCACGCGCAGCCGGAAGTGGCGGCTGCTGTGGAGAATTGGAGATGGGAACGGCCCTGGACATCAAGATTAAAAGAGCGAATAAAGTTTATCACGCCGGGGTAAGTGGGGGCTTGGGTTGGAGGTGGGGTTGGGCGGGTCTGCAGGTTCCGCTGTCTCCATCGCTCTGCACACGTCCCGCGTCCCTAGGCGGGGCAGGGCTGTCCCACCAGGTGCGTCTCCGCCAGGTGGGTGCGTTCCCGCCAGGTGCGTCCCCGCCAGGTGCTTCCCGCGCGAGCCTGGCCTGCCCTGCGAGGGGCCCCGCGAGAGGCGCCGCCGCAGCATCTGCGGGACGTGCAGGGCAGGCGCCCGGCTCCGGGGCTGCAGCTCTTCCCATCTGGCCCCTTGAACACCCGGCGGTGGGCATTGGGCCCTCAGGCTTGAGCTCCCGCAGTGAGCGCTGAGGGCAGAGGAGTTGACGACCAGACTCCCCTTTCCCTCTCTCCTAAGGTGCCCGCAAAGGTCCAATGAACGAAAGCTAAAACTAACCTTGGAAGCAGTAATGGTATGTCTGGCGGCAGCATATATTAAGTGACAGTCACTTTTAACATACCACGAAAGTTACTCCTTTTTCTGGTTTTATTCTTCGACTGAGATAAAGGATTGACTATTAAAATGCAAGTATAAAAAAATAAAATATTGACTCTGCCATTAACAGATTTTGTGACATTGGCCAGTCATTTCATCTCCTTGGGCCTCAGTGTCCTTATTTGCAAATGAGGGTGTTGTAAGGTTCCTCTGACTCGGGGAATCTCAACCCTTACTCGACATCAGAATCAGTCACCCTGAGGAATTTTAAAATATGGTTGCTCGGGTTCCACTCTCGGCGATACCGATGATACATGTGCAGCTAGGGTTGAAATCACAGCCCCAACACTCCTCGGAATAAAATTGATAGCAGTGGTTGGGCATATTAATGCAAAGTAATCTCAGAAGGGACAGAGTACCAGACAAAGGTCTTGGATGGATGCTGAAACTTTTGGGCAAAAGAACTGGGGAAGCCTGGTATTTACACAAGCTCAAATGGTCATCCCTTTGATGGTTAATTACAAAGGGAAAAAACTGGCCTGGCGCGGTGGCTCACGCCTGTATTCCCAGCACTTTGGGAGGCCGAGGCGGGCAGATCACCTGAGATCAGGAGTTCGAAACCAGCCTGACCAACATGGTGAAACCCTGTCTTTACTAAAAATACAAAAATTAGCCGGGCGTGGTGGCGGACGCCTGTAATCCCAGCTACACCGGCAACTGAGGCAGAAAAATCGCTGGAACCTGGCAGGCAGAGGCTGCAGTGAGCCGAGATTGCACCACTGCACTCCAGCCTGGGCCACAGAGTAAGACCCCCTCTCAAAAAATCAAAAGGGAAAAAGCTACCTTTATAATGGAGAGATCTGGTAGTCACACTCTAGCCAAGCACAACAATGAACACCACTTTACCATCACAACTAATGAGACGACTGACATTCGGTACCCCTTGGCATGATGCACCAAAAAGGTCACAACTCAGCTATGTAGTATTCCCGCCAAAAATGTTTAATCCATGTCAGTTCATAAGGAAACAATCAGGCATATCCAAATTGAGGGACATTCTGTGAAACAAGTAGCGTGGTTTTTTCAGAAATATCAATGTCAAAAAATAAAGGCGAGATAATTTTTCTAGACTAAAAGACTAAAGGGACATGAGAACCAAATAGAATGCTTAATTTCTGATAAAATATAAATCCGAATATGGACTATAATTGTTGTGTATTGGTGTTGAATTTCTCCAGCGTAATATTTTGGTTATATAGGAGAATACTTCACATGCTGAAGTGTTTAGGGTCAAAGTGTCCAGCCATAGACTGTGCACATATGTTTATGCACATGTGTGTATAGGAGAAAAAGAGAAAGTGAATGTGGCAAAATACTAACAATTGCTGAATGAGGTTAAAAGCTACATGGGTCTTTGTATTCTTTTTAAAAAATAACAGCTTTATAGAGATAATTTAAAATACAAAATGTACCCTTTGAAAGTATACAATTCAGTAGTTTTTTAGTGTATTTGCAGAGTTGCGCATCTATCACCACGATCTAATTCTAGAACATTTTCACCCCAAAAAGAAACCCTGAACCCATTAGCTGTCACTCCTCATTCCCTCTGCCTCCTGACCCCTGGCAGTGACAAATCGACTTTGTCTCTGGAGTTGCCTGTTCTTGACATTTCATATAAATGGAATCGTACAGTTTGTGACCCTTTTGACTGACAGGCTTCTTTTACTTCACGTAATGTTCGGTGTTCATGCTTGTCATAGCATGTGTCAGTTCCTCATTCCTTTTTATGGTTGAATAATATTCCATTGTATGGATAGATCATATTTTGTTTAACCACTCATCTCTTGATGGACATTGGAGTTATTTCTACCTTTTCACTATTAATAATGTTATGAACATTGTAGTACAAGTTTTTATGTGAGAGGATATTTTTATTTCTCTTGGGTGTATACCTAGGAGTGGATTTTGCTGAGCTACTTTAACTTTTTGAAGAGCTGCCAAATTATTTTCCAAAGTGTCTTGTACCACTTCACAGTCTACCGGCACTGTATGACGGTTCAAATTTTTCCACTACTTTATAGTTTCATAACTTTTCTGGAGCTTGGAAATGTTTCAAAATAACAATGGGAGGGCAGTGACAGGAGACTCTATGCATTTAACTTTAGTATTCATTATTTCATTAACAAGTTAGCACATTCTTTTCAGAAATGTTACTCCAGCTGGGATGCTGAGATATCTTCTGTGGTTTTAAATATGATACAAGTAATGAAAAGTATATTAGAAAAAAGGCAAGCAGTGGAATGATAAAGTTGCCCCAGCAGAAGTCATCCACAGCCAGGACCACTTCCTGCGGGTCGCAGAGTTGAAGACTGAGTCAGCTCTGTCCCTCTAGACTACATCTCCTGATGCTAGTATCAGGAACAGAATCTGCAATTGATGGCTGAAGGCAGCTTCTCTCAACCTTCAGTCACTTTTTACACTTACATGCATTTTAAAGGAAACATTATATGGTGAATATAAAAGAAAATCATTGCTGTATTTTTTTAAAAGGCGACAGAAAAGAGAAAGTTATTAAACTAATTAATCAATTGACAAAAATCTCTGACATGAGTGCCCATGATTCATGTGCTAGACTCCATGATCTGTGACTCAGGGTAGGTGGAGTAGGCAGCCAGCACTGTCATGGCTGCTTTCCAAGCCCCACGTAGCAGGACCCTTGCGGTCTGGTCCTCCAGGAGGCCTCATTGACCGCAGGCAGTGCATATGTCACTTCTAGTTTGCACTGTGGTTGTGGGAGAAGCGGCCCTTCTCTCCTACCCTCCTCACCCTTAGCTGGCTGCAATGGAGCTGATAGCATACACATTTTCTCTTTTCTCTGTACATCTCAACAGTGACAGTAAAGATTCAGTTACCAAAGATTTGACTTACCTATGTGCCTGCCAGAGCACCACGCCTACAATTCTGGGTTGCTTGAGGTGGCTGCCACCTACTTTAGCCTGATTCTAAGCAGTACTATCCCAGGCTTGAGGTCATGAGTGATTGTCTTTCAAGTGAAACGTGTTTGTCAATGTAAGCACATAAGGCAAGCTTATGTTCCAGCAGAAGTTCTGGGGTAGGGTTTGACAGCCAGGCAATACCACTCTCATTTTTCTGATGAGGAAATGGAGGCTTAGCCAAGTTGAAGAATTTCATAACCCAACTAGACAAGTTGAAGAACTTCACCCGACTAATGACCGAGTCTGGATTCCAACTCAGATCAGTTCCAGTTCAAAGCATGTCCATCAAACACCATTATTCTGCCTCCCTAGGAGTGGCCATTTTTATGCAAAATGGAGGAATTTGTAATATAGAAATGTTTTTCATTTCCTAGTAGTGCTGTGAATAACATTGAGATATTTCAATAAAAAGAGACTGATACGACTTCTACTTTGAAGATATGCTGATTCTGTTATTGTGCTTTCCGGTATCTTTGTTGTGGAAGCATTTGAAAATGGCTTGATTCTGTGGACACTAGAGAAACCTAAGTTATACTTAGATTTAAAATTGACCTTTTTTTTTTTAAGAAAAAATATCGACAAAATGATTTTTAAAAAATTACAGTTGAAGCATTTAAAAAATATATAAACGTAATACATGACATGTTAAAAACGTAATATCCTGGCTGGGTGTGGTGGCTCATGCCTGTAATTGCAGTACTTTGGGAGGCTCAGGTAGGCAGATCACTTGAGCCCAGGAGTTCGAGACCAGCCTGGCCAACATGGCGAAACCCTATCTCTACTAAAAACAGAAAAAGTAGCTGGGTGTGGTGCACGCCTGTAATCCCAGCTACTTGGGAGGCTGAGGTATGAGAATCACTTGAACCCGGGAGGCGGAGGTTGCAGTAAGCCAAGATCACACCACTGCACTCCAGCCTGGGCGACAGAGCATGACTCTGTCTCAGGAAAAAAAAAAAAAAGAAAGAAAAGAAAAAGAATACTCCACCCAATGAGAGAATATACATACTTCTCAAGGGCATATGGAACATTCTTCAGGAAAGAATAGCTTTATGCTGGGCCATAAAACAAATGTTAATACATTTAAAAGGATCAAAATAATGCAAGGTATTCTTTGGTCAAAATGAAATGAAATTAGAAATCAATAACAGAAAGAAATTTAGGAAACTCACAAATATGTCTGATATAGTTTGGCTCCGTGTCCCCACCTAAATCTCATGTTGAATTGTACTCCCCGCGTGTCGGGGAGGGGACTGGTGGGAGGTGACTGGATCATGGGGGCGGACGTCCCCCTTACTGTTCTCGTGATAGTGAGTTCTCACCGGATCTGATGGTTTAAAAGTGTGGCACTTTCAGCTTTGCGCGCTCTCTCTCTCCTGCTCTGGCATAGTGAGTAAGACGTGCCTTGCTTCCCCTTCGCCTTCAACCATGATTGTAAGTTTCCTGAGGCCTCCTCAGCCACGTGGAACTGTGAGTCAATTAAACCTCTTTTCTTTATACCTAGTCTCAGGTAGTTCGTTATAGCAGTGTGAGAACGGACT